GAGGAGATGAACCTTCTGAATACCACGTCAGGCAGATCACTCTCCCACTGCTTTTAGATTAACAAGGACTTGCTAATAGTTTTCCTCCACAGTCATATCACCTCTCTTCAAATTACTTCCACACCTAAGTCACTGCATCAGACCACCCTAAACCAGTGCTTTCAATCAGCAAATCTGGTAACAAAATTTTTGCTGCCAGGATCACCCAACTCAGCCCAAACCTCCAGAGTGCAGCAGCTCAGACTCCTGCATCCTCACAAGTCACTCTAGCTCCCTGTACTTGTATGGCAACAACTTCACTTGGCCATTTCCATCTCCGAAGCCTTCACTCACCACACAAGTCTAACAGTGGCATGTCTAGGGCAAAGGCAAATCCCAGAAAGAAGGGAAGATGAAGATCTCATTCACAGGCGATGCTCTCGTACGTAGATCACGACATACTGAGGCTATGCCATTTCTTACACTGCAACCCAAAGTTATGACCATACTTCACTTTTTCCCTCTTCAGGAGCTTTGTTTTCTGTTACAGCCATTAACAGAAGAGGACTCCAGAGCTGCTTCCCATCAATGTAATGTCCCAAAGCAGGTAAAAACAGACGCTGGAATTTGGGCGAAGAGGAAGGAGCACAAGCTCTTACAGTTACTACATCTGCATTTGGTTCAAACAGATAACCATAAAACAGTGAAGTGGAAAGCACTTCCACAGCTAGCCACACAGCCATACACTGCTGGAGATGATACAAAGCAACAACAAAAGCACCGATTCATGCCAAACAGCACCTCACATTATGTGCTCTGGACACACTGAAAATTCACATCACTGGCAGCTCGACCAGAAGAGAGTTCATTCCCCTCAAGAAGTTACAAGTACCTACAAGGCCTAGGAGTAGGGTCAGTGACAACTGCAGACCCGTGACCCTTCCAGCACTCTGCCACTTCTCAATTTCTTGACACGCCTCAGATTTGAGCAGTTTTTATTCCAGCACTACAGATTTCCCCATAAGGAATTAGTCCCAGGCAACACATCTGCCATGCAGTGGGTTTGTGTGTGCTAGAGACCAACACCAAATCCAAGCTCCTTTGCAACTTAAGGCAACTTCCACATGCTCTGAGGAGAGGGATGAACAAGAAGCACCCAGGTTTTGTAGTCCTTTAAAGTGTATTTTTCTAAACTCCCTTGCAAGTGTGAGGATGGAAATTGATGCATGAACCTTTGCCACACAGCAGAAAAAGGTGTTTAAGCCAAAAATCTCCATACAGCATAACCAGCTCCACCAAACTGTAAAAACCCCCAAACTAAAGCAGAGCAAACAAAACCACAAAGCCAAAACTACCAGAAAAAAAATCCACAACCCCAAAACAAAAGCAAAACAAAAAAATCAAAGCTACTCCCCATTTTCCCTAAACCCCAGTATCTTCAATGCTTATGATTAAATGTGCATCTCAGAAAAAAACCTTTTTGGACAACAGTGGCTATGATGGAGGAGAAGGAAAACAAAAAGTCAGAGTGCAGACAAAGTAGAATAAAAACTCAACTTCATGATTAAAAACTGTCATGGGAGTTGGCAATGGTGTTTTAAGTATGGTTAAAACAGCCCTGTCAAGACACTGCATTTATAAGGGCACATACTTGCTGACACTTGATTTGCAAGTAGGAAATGAAAGTTATAAAAGGAAAAGGAATTCATGCAATGGCTCTTCACCTTACCTAAAAGGTGACATTTTATTCCCTGCTGTAATCTAGAGAAACATAATTCTCTTATATTAAAAAGCAGAAAAAAGAGAAGCTGCAGCCAGGAGTCCTTACTATCAATCCAGCACTGCTGACCCTCAAACTACTACACTTGAATTGAGAATTCTTTGAAAATGCAACACAGCTTCTTGTACCAACAAGCTCACAGCTAACAACTCCCTCCCTTCCCTCAACACACATTCATACCCATTCTGGAGGAGTCTGGCCCAAGTCTCTTCCTCCAGCTTCAACTCCACCAGACACCATCTACTAAATGTGTTTCTAGTCCTGGGTCACGAGCCTCTCAGTCAAGCACTGTTCTTCACTTAATTCCAGGAAGAGCTGCAAGTGTCCACACAACACAAAAACAACAGACCACACACTGAAATGATCACATGGACAAAGCAGACACATGGATGTTCTTTTTGTTAAAGGTTCCTGCACAGAATTGGTTGCAGGAAGGATCCATCAACAACAAAAAACCCTCCCGAGAAACTAGTTCAGATCCACATGGCTGAAGAGACTGAAACACCAGGTTGGTTCCCAACGAAGGGGATGCAGGAATCCACATCAGACAGTAAATAAAATGAGGGTAAAAGCAGCAGAAGCTGCACCCATGCATCAATCTGAACACTGACATACTTTAATGTTGCAACACCGTTACCTACCAAGAAGTCTTCCTTGGGAAAGCAGCACCATAAAGAGAAAAGTGGGTCTAGTTGCAAACCTCTTCCTGAAGGCTGAGTTTGTCAGTAGGCCAAACTCACAAGCTGCTGCATGGCAGTAAGGAGTAAGTACTCTCCTGAGTGGCTAAAGCCTGTTTTCTAGTGGTAGCAGACCATGGGCACAGGTTTCCCTCAGCACGTTCTAAACTGCAACAAAGGTACTAATCAAAACCCGAAGGTGGCAGCAGCTTCAGGGATCACTGTGGTACACAGAAAGCAGTTACAGCTGCTTTGGGAAGCTCGTTTTCAGGGTCAGGAAGGGCATCCTTCTGAAAGAGAATATTAAAGGTAGAAAACAGTCTAGCAACTAGAGAGAGAAAAAAACCCAAACCAAAGACCATTTATGTCTCCATCAGCACCTCCAGCAGATTGTTCCCACTGGGCTGGATACCCAGTGCAGAGGGACTACCACAGGAGAGGCTGTTCCCAGCCTGCAGTGCTTCTCCTTCCACCACCAGAGTTACAGAGGGGGATTATACAGGGGATGGCTGGTTGACAACATAGTTTGCTTTTTGGGGGAGCATTGGCATCAAAGGGTGTGCACATTCTCCCGAGTAACCAGGGCACACAAACTCATCAGCAGCAACAATGCCTGGTGAGAAACAGTACATACAGTTCTGTAACACAGAGAGTAAATAACAGCACCGAACAGCAACACAAGAGGGAGAAGAGCAAGAAGAGCCTGCAGCCACCAAGTGATGTTGTACAAAGCAGGGTATTTAGAATCACCATGCAGATTTAATACTTGGTTCCTCTGTCCAGTGATCGACTCAGGACTTGCTCCCACTCCCCGTAAGGTCAGCCTCCCCCTGCATCCACCTATGTGTTCACAGGTCATCAGTGGGAATTCCCTTCCTTGCCCCTGGCAGCAGCAAACCCTTTGGGAAGGCAGCCAGCCTGGACTATGCAGCTCACATCAGGTGAGAAATCCTTCTGCACAAGCATCTCTAGGATTTCAGGCTCTCTGCCATCCTCATGAGCTACATCATTCAGCACCTAAACCACAAGATTGCTGGTTTTAAATATCTCTGTCTAGAAGTGTAAGAGCTTACTGGAGGCACTGGGTACATTAAGAGCTCTTTACCCCTTGTTGTGCAGCAACAATATTTTTCACTTTTAAGCAAGGATGCTGACTGAAACAGGGAGGTGCAACTAGAATTCCTTTCACACCTTCAGGCACATTATTATTGCATGCTATCTACCCCAACTGCCATGGCATTTAATTCAGTAAACATACACAAGCTTTTCATGCTTCAGATTCAAAAGGATACCACCAATAAAAGACTGACAGTCTCTAGATATTGTCATGAGTAAAGACAACAGAATACCTTTAAAAATTTGAAGTGTGTATGCATTTTCCACCTTTCAATACAGAAGTTACCGTGCAAAGCAGGATTTCCATGATAAAGTAGCTCCAGTTGAGATGAATAGGAAAACAACCCCAAAACATGCAATGACGTATGGGTTTTACCAGATGCAGTAATTAAAAATCCAGAGTTAAAAAACTGAAAAGCAAACATGAATTCATCATCAAGTTTTCTGTTTTATTTAAGATTTTAGTTTTAATTCTGAAGAAAGAGGTACATTTCCTTGGTTTTAGTTTTAGCGTCAGGTTATAACCATGTTTATTTATTTCTTTTTTCCTGTCTTTTCAATACTGCACAAACGTCCAGAAACTACAGGGTTAAGTAAAAGCTGCAGGCAGAGGAGGTCAGAGGTTGCTCCTGATGGTGATCATGTGGCCCCAATGCAGTGCTATCCCAGAGTGCCCTAATCAGGTGTATCTTTTTTTTTTTAAAAAAAAGAAAGAGAGACTGACAGAGGAGACAGAAAGACTGAAGTAAATATCACTCGTGTTTCAGCTGCTTATATTATGTATACGCTAGGTATTAAATCTGTGAATACTTTTAAAACATTAAACTTTAAATCTAAAGCCAAAATTAAAGAAAAAAATCTTATTTTCCCCTCTTTAAACCACTCTTTAGCAACATGCCAGTTACTCATAACTAAGTGTTTTGTCTTTAAACACACCTCATGTCAAACTCTGACTGAAACAGTAAAATCCCCTGCTCAAAAAAAACCCCAACATAGCAACTTCTGTGTAGTGCCACACTGAATGCAAAATAAATGCTGGGCAACTGCTTGCCCCATGTGTTCAATAACTTCATTTAAATTAAATACCTTTTTCATGTTTCTGCATTTGATTCTGCATTGTAATTTTCCCCTACTGCAGACTGACACTTGTCCACTAGGCAGAAATACTCATGTGCAAAAGACATAAGACAGTAATATTCCCCTTAAGCATTTTGATTTCTCTCTCTCTCTTTTTTTTTTCCCTTAGAATGGTTAGAAAATATTTCAGTGTGTTTCAAACACTGGTTCTGCAGAAACTTAACGAAAAGATATGGTCATGACCCTGTGATGGCATTGCATTTGGGGGGGAGGTTTGATCAAGAACTGGATTCTTCAGAAAGAAAGATATGACAGGGAACAGTAAGTGGGCATGGGGAGGAGTCAGGGTGGGACACTTCCTGCATTTCTAACGTTTTGGGTCTTATTTTTCTTTTTTTTTTTCTTTTTCCTCCTTTCCTAATGACGATCCAGCGCTGAGCTCTGTAGTAGATCTGTGGGTGTTTTACTGGGGGGTCTGAAGGCTGTCTGAAAGCCTGGAGGTGGGGAATGGAAGCTGGTGGGATTTGAAGGAGGAGAGTAGGGATTCCAACTGGCTCTGTGCAGAGGGATCTGTGTGCTGAAGGGGTTACTGTGGTGTGTCTGTGATGGAGCTGCACTGGGGCCGTCCACCTCTGTGAGGGCCTGAAGAGATTTTAGCCAATGTGGAGGATTGTCATCTTGAAGGGTGTCTAAACTGTTTCCTGTGGAGGCTGGGATACCTAGGAAAAGAAGAAAAAAAACAGGGATACAGGCAAGTCAGAGAAGAAACAGTACGTTGAGCATGAAGGAGGTCAATTTAACCTAACAAAAAGTAACAGTGAAAAAAACATGATTAGTTTGTACAGAAAATGCATTTTACATTATTATGTATAATTACCCTGCCCATAAAACAATTAACATTAAATCCAGATAGGAGAAAGTCCCCCCTCAGAGCACTTCTTCGTAAAACACATTTTTCTATCAAACATCCTGCTCAAGAACTGCATCCCTGTCAACGTGACCTTACCACACCAAGCTGCCAGTACACTGCATGCTTCGCCTTCTACTCTGCCTACCTGAATCATGCTTCAGTCTAACAGGGAAACACAACCAGACAGCCTTATAAAAGAGAGCTTTATAAACAAGTGGAGTATGTCCCTTTTTAAGTAACAAAGTCCAGTGATTGCCTTCAGTGCCTCAGGACCAGCGGCGCACGTACCGGACATGCCATCCAGCAGAAGGGACACCTACAGATGGACCCTACAGAAAAGCACTGATCCACCTGACTGCCTGCAGAGGTCCTAGGCATGCATTGCAAAGGCCTAAGTGACATGTGTAATACCTAGTGGTTCCACAAAAATTCCTGGACCCTTGAGGTTTTGTGGATGGAAGCTGGAAGAGACCACCGCAAACTGACTTTGTCTTTTTTTCATTTTTTAAAATTTTTTTTCCAAATGTAAATCAGTTTGTGCCAAATACCCATTTGATGGTTTGCCAGTGGAGCTGAAGGAGTGAGAAACGGTTACCTGTGATGATTGCGGGGTCCATCCAGCTGCCAGGGCTGTCCCAATTCAGGCTGTCGGTGGTGGCAGTGTTGGACGTTGGTACACTGTGGTTGGCGTTGGAGGGGGAAGAAGCATTGGGCAGTCCACCAAAGTTGATGTTAATGTTCGGTAGAAGTGCCCTTAGCCCGTCCTGCCATTCCTTCATATTTAAACTCTCTACAGAACTGCTGTTGTCTGGGAAATTTACCAACAAAAAAAATGAAAGATAAAAAAATAAAAAGCTGAAGTTAGAAACAGATGTCCTTCTTTGGCGGGGTATGGGATTTTGCTTTTACTTTTTAAGCTAAGCATTTAATACTTTCCCTGTCCAAAAACTAGGGTCAATGTTTCTATGATTGATGAATTACTCAGAGGAGCTGGCAGGTTTTAAACCAAATGTAAGGGCACGGGAGAAAGATTTAACTCCTCCCCCAATACGTATTTCCCCATTTCAGGCCAGAGACTCAAATAATCAAGGGCACAGTGGCTCTCCCTCTGTTACTAATAGGGGAAACCGTACCAGGTACTTGATGCAAATACCTCTGTTGCAATTCAGCTGCTTTTTTAATGGGCAGCAGGCTCAAAAGGGTTATTTTCTCTGAAGTATATCAAAATGAAGAAAGGCTAGGTAGGGCTTTGCAATAGAAACCCAACGTGAGAAACCAGGGAAGCAGAGGAATACCACAGAAGTCTTTTGTTTTGTTATAGCTTGTTCACTCACAGCCCTACAGATGTTCTTCGGAAGGAAATGGTAATGAAGTTGGAGGGAGTGCAATTTCCTCTTGCAGTTGAAGAAGAGTAGCAAAAATTCCTTAGAGACCTTTCAGAATAATTCCTGACACAGAAACATCCTCAGAACTTTGGTTAGAAGCAAACCAGTTAGACACCAAAAGAACTGAGTCTCAACTACTTGCCTAAATGCTTCAGGCCACGTACTGATAAAGAACAGGATAATGTGGCTACTAGCACTACAGCAAATGATCCCTGAATAGAAAACTTACACCATGCTGTGTAGAACAGACTATCAAGCTCTACGATCCATCTCTTGCTTTACGTATTTCAAAACAAAACAAATTAGGCATGAACGTGCTAGTATTTACCAGCCAATATAGAAAGTCATACTTTCTTTTTGAATATAATTGACCAGAAGCTAATAGAGTCTTGGGAGCATATTGGCACATGGTTGCCTTTCTGACAAACACATAGAATACAACAGGTTTTTTTCAAAACATCCCTGCCTATTCTAATTGAAGGACTTCGATGTCTATCAGAAGTGTTATACATACTTACTCAATCTTGCTACTTCATCAACAACAAAAGAGATTTAAGTCTCCGTGGAAAATTAGAGCTTATCACTACCTTGCAACTCTAAGTTGGAGAGTGAAGGAAGAAGTTCCACTTGCTATCAAAACCTGCCTCAGCAATTTTGTGAAGCTGAATGCTAAGAAAGAAGTGACGTGTCGAGCAATTATCTTTTCGTAACTGGGGGGAGGTGTCGTGGTAAACCAGGACAGGAGGGAACCCAAAACCATAAACCTTTTGCAATCCTGTGCTTCCATACAGCACTTTCCTTCACTAGGCCAGAGGCTTTTAGAATAACCTTTACATATAAAGGTTCTGTTTCTGTACAGAACTACAACAGGTGACTTCAGTCACAAATCCCAGCAAGTCACACTTCAGCCCAAGCCACTAACTGAACTTCAGAACAAATCATTATGCCAATCTGCTCTACTGACTTGGTCTGTGATGGCTGTGGGAGCAATGTATTAATTTCTAACACTACGCATGCTTAATGCAGCTGTTCCAGCACAAGCATCCACCTGCAGGAGTGAGTGTTCACACGTAGCAGGATGGCAACTGACACCTAGAACGCCTGTGGCTGATGCTGCACCCAGAGCACGGACAGGGATAACGGCACAGATGAAAAGAATGTACTAAGTATATCATCCTCTGTGCCTGGGCAAGTTTGCAGAATACGTTTGACCACAGACTCCAGAAGGTTTAGTCAACTGCTGTTATCCCCACTTATTGGCTGAGGCTGGGGAGTCACTCTTCCTCGAAGGTTACAGCATGAGGTACCTCCGCTGGGAACAAAGACAACATCTGTCTGTTCCCATAAACAAGGAAAAGGCAGGTAAAAACCAGGCAGTGGGAGCAAACCCCAAAGCCTGCCCATTACTACATGCATCATGCTGTACCTGGAGTTCAAACTTTCAGTGTGATAGGAAGGAAAAATAGCCCTAAGAAAACTGCAGCTCTGTCTCGAGCAAGTAACCTTTTTAGTAACACCCTAGTGCAAAGATGCAATCAAGTCTCCAGACAAGCATGACTGTACCTAACACTGTGCAGCAATGTGCTCTGTGGGGCCTGGTGTACAAGTGCCTTCGGATGTAAAAACCCCATTACAGCAATTCCTTCTGTGTTCATTTTGCACTGGGCCATAGTGCATACAACTAGCTTTCACTTCTACTTTACTTTCTCCTACTGTAAATCAAATCTACTTCCTGTTCTTTCCAGAGTTCCCACTTATTCCTTTCCAATCTTAATTACACAATAAATGCTTTTAAAGAGTTTGGTGCAACATTTTTCATTCAAACTTAAAATCCCAAGGTTAAAAATAACAAAATTTCAGAAAATATTAGTCAAAAATATCCTTGCTAGATATTTACTCACAACCATCCTGAGCATCCATAAGCCCATCTGAGATAAATTCTAAACTAACTTTTCAGAACAGAAGTAGCCAGCTCATGATCATAGAAAGAACTGCAACAGATTCTTCATGGTACACTATTAGTTTTCACTTGATTTTCTCACTGCTGCTTCCAACAGCTTGTGCAAAGAAACACAGCTCTGTTTAAATACTCACTTCCACTACAGTGCAAAAAGCACACAGAAGATGCTTACTGAGTCCATGCATGAGTGAACATACTCATCTCGATACCTGTGAGCTGGGCATCTGCAAGATCATGATGATCTTAATCATGGACATTACTAACCCCTATATGCCCTCAAAGCATAGGACAGTAAGAAACTGAGGAAGACTGCCCTTGATCTCAACTGTCTGTACGAAATCCATTTGGCACCACAGAAGTCAAGAAATGAAAGGCCTAAAAGGACTCAGTATCTACAAAAACTGTATTGTTTGCCAGCAATAAGAAAGTTAGTTTATTAAAATCTTGTGCTTGTGGCTACAAAAGCAATAAAATAGAGAACGGGAAAAAAAAAATTACCGTCTTTTCCAGACAGCTGGGTTTGTGGGGCTGAAAGCCAAGCTAGGACAGAAATATTGCCCTCTGACAAACGAAACCCCAAACAAGCACCACATTACTCAGGTGCCTGTAACAAAGTTTTCCAGCTTGGCTGATAAATGCAGAGGTAAAAACCCTATTGAACATGACCACCAGCCTCTAAGGAAAAGTGCCAAAATCAAAGTATGTTTGTAACATGGCATCTAGTAAGGGATTAAAATGCATTAAGGTGTTAAAGTAGATGGGATCACTAGAGAATGCAATGCTCTACAATGCTCCCTGCACTACCCTCCGAGCCCTCAGTTACTGGCTATGTTGGGTAAACCAACCAGTTACAACCTCAGCCATCTCCAGGCACCACACACCAACACCCAAATCGAACTGCTCAATCAGGATGTCTTTGCTGGAGCCTGACAGGTTTTAAACAAGAGCCTAAATGAAAATGCAAGTCCACCCCAGAGACAGGAGTTACTTCCAAGAACTGAAGAAAATAAATCCCTTCAGAAATCACTACTTGGCCCTCAGCTAGTTTGTTCTTCCTGTTAAGTAAGTTGATGTTTCACCATGAAGCTAATACCATAGTTAAAAATGAGAAAAGGTTAGCTCTCAGTTAACACAGACCTATTAAAAAGGGCATTTGTCTATTATCTTTCTCTACTTCTAAACTTAACTAGTTGAAGGGAGTAATTTTTTGGCTACCTAGCACACTTCTCAGTTGGACATAACAATCTAGGGACATGAAAACCAACACCCTTTCTCAAGGAGTGGAAACACCACCTCCTTCCATAGCATCATCTTAATTTGAAGCAGTATGTCCAGGAACAGCAGGAAAATAGAAGAAGACAAGTTAAAACCCAGCTGACTGCAAAGAAAAGATTTTACACACCAGGATATATAGGAGATTCCTACCCTCATGCCTCAGGCTTGGTCTCCTAGAGGAGAAAAACCTGGTGAAGCATCACTGAAATCAGCACTATTCACATGAAAAATTGGCTCAAGTGCACATCCTGAACTCCAGTGTTCCCTTGATGCACATTTCATAACCCTATCTGGTGTAGTGGAAACTTGTTTACAGGGGTGAACAGATCCCACAGTTCTGAAATTTTCCTGTGTCTGAGGTGTTCTGTCAATGTGAAATAAAAGTGCTTGTATGTAAAATTTTCAAAGCCGACCACTGTCAGAGTAAGCAAAGGAAAGGAAAAAAGCTTCACCACAAATGTAACTTATTCATCTAATTTAAATAAAAATTCAAGTTACTTTGAAAAAAGAATGCAATTGATAACTCAGAACATTAATCTATATGAAAACTGGTTACTTAATGGATTTCTAAATAAAAACATTGCCCCATTATTACACATCCTACGACAGTCTGGAAGTGTTAGCTCATCATTCTCTCCCTGCAATGCCTTAACACTATTCCTTCAAATCAAGCAAAGCAGGGGGAGAAACAGTGAAGAGGATGATGGCCAAGCCAGAACACTGTTCTGCTGTGCATAATCAGTACTTTGAAGCTGTTTCCACAAGTGTCTGCTGCACTGACATGGGCCGTTCTGTGACTTTTGAAATTCTGACAATGGCACCACAATGCAGACCCAAAGGTGTTCCAGATTTGGCTGTGTCACATTGGAGATGCTGATGCACTTGGATCTTTTTTTTTGTGGGTAATGGGATAGTACAGCTTACAATTTACTTGTAAGATAAACTCACTAAAATGAATGTCCTACAGTGAATAGACCATTTCAAATTATTGACCCAATTCTGATAAAAGTCTACGGGTCAAAATTCACATTGTACATGCTTAAATAAATACAACTAATAGCAAAGATCACAACACCATTACATTAAGCGTAAAATAAGTGCATTCATTTGCTGACAATAATTATATTACAAGCTATTACAAGAGCTTAATTTTGTACTAATTGTGCAAAGCCTTTATGCCAAGAGTCC